GATTATTCCTTAAAAGTTATTTTTAAATGGTTGCGAGGAGGAAAGGGAGTATAGCAGGGAAATTAAAAGCCAACATTTTCATGTTTCTTAAATAAATTTGTGTCATGATGAATTTTAAAAATTGGAATATAGGGAAGAGGGAAAAAAAGGAACCTTACTTGGTTAGAGAAAGAGGAACACAAATTAGAGGTGTTAGATGTTCTAACTTAACATGAGCACATTCAAAATTGGCCTGTCTTATTGTAAGTAAGTGATATCTTAGGAGACATGTCAGCAGTGTCTTCTAAATGCTTCTTCATTCATATAGTCATTCCTTTATTTATTTATTAATTCAATAATTATGATTCTCTCCTATAGAAAATATACCTCTATTTTGTCCAAACAAATGGCACAGAAGAAAATGTAAGCCCAAATGCCAAAAGTTCAGGCTTATATAGATGTTACATGTGAATTAAACAAAAATCAACATAAATCTGCATTCTTGGTTTGGATAGGCACAACTTCATGAATTGTGAGGTATATCAAAAGTAGATGATATTTCCTTAGAAAATGTGAGTAGAAGGAATAACAAGGAAAATAGATTCATATTAGTTTCTGAATGGAGCCAGAGAATAGTGTTGTTACCTGGAACCATTATAATCCTTTCAGCATTTTATTTCAGATAAAACATTTACAGTGTTGCTTGGACATCAAAAATAAGAGAACTTATCTTATGTAGTAGAAGTGGGAGCCAGAATGTTTGACTTTGCATGAGCAACTCAACCCTTTAGAGCTCAGTCCATGTTTATTAAAATGGGCATTGTCTAATAATTTTTAAGGATTTTATTGATGCTAAATCTGTAATTCTTTTAAGTACTTATTGAATGATAGCTATTTACAGGCATTATGCTAAGCCCTTTTGAAAATACTAAGATATACATCACAATCCCTGGCCTTCAGTAGATGTAAGGCATACACAAATATTTGTATCACACAGCATTGTATTGTAAAAACTATGTAGAAGAATCGATTAAGTGAAAGAGGAGAGAATTTCAAATTGGGACAATTGAGTATGATTCAGTAAAGGATCATTTGAACTATACTTTGAAGTTTGAGTAAGATTTTAATATACAGCCATGACTAGGAGAGTGTGTCCTCAACCAGAATAATCTGAAATACAGAGATCAGAAAATAGAGAAGTACAAGTCAGCCAGTTTTACTAATGGAGGGGTTGTGTTTTAGAGTAATGGGAAAGGAAGTGGAAAATATAAGTAAAGGTAAGATTATTAAGGATCTCATCTGTAACCGAAGAGGGGTATTGTAGATTTTTTGAGATAGGAGAATAACAGGCTAAGACTTATTGAGAGAGAATATGTAGATATGGAAGATATTGTAGAGTAGGGAGGAAAGTTTGAAACTGCCCTTTTAAAATTAATAAAAGGCTGTAAGGTGGGATCTGTGGTAGGGGCCTGAAGTCTGCAAAGATATAGGCATAATGAGAAGAAAAAAAAAACCATACATATCTCCAGCCATTGTTCCCTAGCTTGCTTTCCTATAGTTGCTTACTACTCAGGAGTCACATAGCTGATGATCATAAAGATTCTCAGCTTTCTTCATTGCTCCAATAGATAACATCACCATTGTGAAACCCAAGGCTAGTCTTTGAGATGTCTTCCAGACCCTGCATTCCAGTGGACCAGCTGACCCAGTCAGACCAGTGGCCCATACCAAGAGACCAACTCAACTGGTCTTGCGGCCTGGGAACTGACTCAGCTCAAGTAGAAAATTTCTGCTTTCCAACCCTATGAGTTCATTTCCAACCAATCAGCAGACCTAATTCCCTAGCCGTTTGCCCACGAAACTGTCTTTAAAAACCCTGGCCTGGGCTGGGTGTGGTGGCTCATGCCTGTAATCCTAGCACTTTGGGAAGCCAAGGTGGGAGGATCTCTTGAGGCCGGGAATTCGAGACCAGCCTGGCAATAGCAAGATCCTGTCTCTACAAAAAAAAAAAAACTTAAAAAATTAGCTGGGTGTGATAGTATGTGCTTGTAGCCTCAGCTACTTGGGAAGCTGAGGCAGGAGGATCCCTTGAGCCTAGGAGTTGGAGGCTGCAGTGAGCTACAACAATGCCACTGTACTCCAGCCTGGGCAACAGAGTGAGACCCTGTCTCAAACAAACAACAAACGAACAACAAAAAATCCCTAACCCCAAAATTCTTAGGGGGACAAATTTGAGAACTTCCATCTCCTCGCATGGCACCCTGCGATGTTAAACTCTTTCTCCATTGTAAACCATGCTGTCTCAGTGTATTGGCTTCCTCTTGAGCAGCAGGCAATGAATGTGGTTGGGTGGTAACAATTTGATGCTGAAATATCAGTGAAGAAACTATTACACTTGTCCTGGCAGAAGATAGTTAAGATCTGAAATAGAATAATGGCAGTTCATTGAAATGGATGGAGCAGATGAAAGAAAGATTATGAAATAAGAATGCACAAGATTCAATGAATCGTTTGGGTAAAATTAAGGATTAGAACTGGTATGACTGGAAAATGGAGGAACCTTTAATAAAAATTGACAAGTCAAGGGGAGAAGTTGATTTTTGTGAACAAATATAATGTGCTAATTCCCCACATTTTGATAGATCTTTCCCACCTATGTAGCAGCTATTTTGGTATAATAGCAAAGAGAGAACATTTTCTGTGACTCCTTCTCATTTTCTTGCAAAGCCACTGTAGTTTCTTAGGGATATTCATTAATTTTTTTGTCAAGTATTATGAATCTAAATTGCCTTATGTACTAATTTGGTGATGGGGAGCATATATGATAGAATTTTTTAAAGTATTCTTTCCAAATATCATGAAGAATAGCCAGAATTTAGTGGTTTGTAAGAGCTGGAATTTTACATTAGATTTGGAGAAGAAATTCACGTGTAAATTATACCCATCAAAAATTGTAATAATAGGAAATGAAACCAACTTAGGTTGGTGAAAGCGTACCCATTTTATTTGGTGCACTAGTTC